ATGGATCCCCCAAACCTGGCCATGGATCCCCAAACCTGGCCATGGATCCCAGACCTGGCCATGGATCCCCCAAACCTGGCCATGGATCCCCCAAACCTGGCCATGGATCCCCAAACCTGGCCATGGATCCCAGACCCGGCCATGGATCCCCAAAACCTGGCCATGGATCCCAGACCCGGCCATGGATCCCTAAAACCTGGCCATGGATCCCAGACCCGGCCATGGATCCCCAAAACCTGGCCATGGATCCCAGACCCGGCCATGGATCCCTCAAACCTGGCCATGGATCCCAGACCTGGCCATGGATCCCTCAAACCTGGCCATGGATTCCCCCAGACCTGGCCATGGACACCCAAACCTGTCCCTGGAGCCCCGGGCAGCGCTGGACCCGCTCTCTCCCCACAGATAATGCCATGGAGGGGGGGGCTCAGCAGAGCAGCCTCCGGGAGCCCCCCGGGCCGGAGCAGGAGGGGCTCCCCAGCGAGTGGGACGGGGGCGAGGGGCCGCCCGAGGTCAAGCGCTCCCAGCCCCTCTTCATCCACGGCAGCAGGTGGGTGGGGGTCCGGAGGGGGCTCGGGGGGCGCGGGGGGGCACGGGGGGTGTCACAGAGCTCAGACCCCCCCTGTGCCCGCAGCCGGACCCCGCCCCAGGAGGAGCCGCGCGCGTCGTCGCTGCCCACCATTCCCAACCCCTTCCCGGAGCTCTGCAGCCCCTCCAACTCGCCCATCCTCAGCAGCCCCGCCCTGGGGCAGGGACCCCCCCGCGAGGGCACCTCCCACGTGAGTCTGGGAAGGGGGGGCTGGGGAGAGGGGGGGCTCAGCCCTGGGACAGGGACCCTCCCCCCCGTGAGGGTACCTCCCGTGCGAGTTCAGGGGCTGGGGAGGGGGTTTCTTGGTCCTGGGACAGGGACCCCCCCTGCGAAGCTCCCTTCCACAAAGCCAGGGGGGTTGGGAAGAGGGGTGCCCTGGGACTCCCCTCCACCCCTGTGAAGGCACCTTCCACACGAGTCTGGGGAGATGGGGGGGCTTAGCCCTGGGGACAGGGACCCCCTGACATGAGGGCACCTCCCACGTGAATCAGGGGTCTCATCCCTGGGGCAAGGACCACCTCCCACACGAGCTCAGGGAACAGGGGACCAGGCAGGCTGGGGGGGGGTCTCGCCTTTGGTTCTGCGGGTTCCCCTCCCGCGGGGGGGGCCCTGACGGCCCCGGTGGTGCCGCAGGTGGTGAAGGTGTTCGGCGAGGACGGCGCCTGCCGGTCCCTGGAGGCCTCGGCGGGCACCACGGCCCGGCAGCTCTGCGAGACCCTGGTGCGCAGGACGCGGGCGATCCACGACCACAGCTGGGCCCTGGTGGAGCTGCACCCTCACCTGGCCCTGGGTGAGCCCTGAGGATGGGGGGGGCACACGGGGCATGGGGGGGCACGGCCAGGGCTCCCCGCTGACCCCCCGTGCCCCCCCAGAGCGGTGCCTGGAGGACCACGAGGCCGTGGTGGAGGTGCAGAGCTCCTGGGCCGCCGGCGCCGAGAGCCGCTTCGTGTTCCGCAAGAACTTCGCCAAGTACGAGCTCTTCAAGAGCAACGTGGTACGTGGGCCTGAAGGGACGGGGGTGACCCCCACCCCAGCACCCCACGGGGCTCTGCTGACCCCCTTCCCCGTGCCCCCAGCAGTCGCTGTTCCCCGAGGTGATGGTGTCCAGCTGCCTGGAGGCCAACAAGAGCATGGCACACTCCGAGCTCATCCAGGTACAGGGCGCTGAGGGACTGAGGTGCCCCGGGGGTCCTGCCGTGCCCTGGGGACCCCGCCGTGCCCCTCAGCCCCCGTGTCCCCCCAGAACTTCCTCAACTCCGGGAGCTGCCCAGAGGTCCAGGGGTTCCTGCAGCTGCGGGAGCCCGGGCGCAAGGTCTGGAAGCGCTTTCACTTCTCCCTGCGCCGCTCGGGGCTCTACTACTCCACCAAGGGCACCTCCAAGGTGAGGGCACGGGGGTCTTTGGGTGGGGGGAGCACGGCCAGGGGCTGCAGCCTGATGCCCCCCACCCTCCCAGGACCCCCGGCACCTCCAGTACTTCGCTGACCTCACCGAGTCCAACATCTACTACGTGACCCAGGGCAAGAAGCTCTACGGGACCCCCACCGAGTTCGGCTTCTGCATCAAGGTGGGGATGTCCCTGCATGGCTGGGGGGTCCTTCCCTGTGCCTCCCCCTGTCAGGGGGTCTCTGTGCCCCCCCTCTCAGGGTCACTCGGGGCTGCCCCATGACGGCTCTGGCCTCTCCCCCAGCCCCACAAGGTGCGGGGCGGCGTGAAGGGCCTGAAGCTGCTCTGCAGTGAGGACGAGCAGAGCCGGAGCTGCTGGATGGCGGCGTTTCGGCTCTTCAAGGTGAGCCCTGACGGGGTGGGACCGGCCCTGTGCGGGGGGAGACTGGGGGGAGGCTGGGGGAGAGGCTGGAATGATGCCAGAGGAATGCTGGGGGATTTCTCGAGGGTTACTGGGGGAATACTGAGGTGATGCTGGGAAGATGCTGTGGGATGCTGGAGGGGATATGGAGGGATTCTAGAGGGATGTTGGGGGGTTGCTGGGGGCTCATTCCCATCCCGGTGCTGGAAGAGATTCAGGGTGGGTGTCTCTGTCCCCATGTGGGGTGGACACAGAGGTCCCCATCCTCACACTGGGTGGCTGTGGAGGTCCCTGTCCCCACCCCCACCCCGCAGTGGGACAGAGGCCCCACAGGCCCCCCCAGCTGACAGGACCTTCCCCCCCCAGTACGGGATGCAGCTCTACCGCAACTACCAGCAAGCGCAGGCGCGGCTGAGCCAACCCCCCTGGATCGGCCCCACGCCCCTGGTGAGTGCCCCCCACAGCCCCCGCAGGCCCCGGTCCATGGGGACCCCCCGGTGACCCCCCATTCCCACGCAGAGAAGCGTCTCTGACAATGCCCTGGTGGCCATGGACTTCTCGGGGTGCACGGGCCGGGTGATCGAGAACCCCAGCGAGGTGCTGACGGCGGCCCTGGAGGAGGCACAGGCCTGGAGGGTGAGTTGGGGTGCAGGGGGGGGGCGAGGGGAGGGACCCCCTGAGCCCACCCTAACGCCCACCCCTTGCTGTGCACGGCCAGAAGAAGACGACGCACCGGTACAGCCTGCCCGCCGCCTGCCACAGCTCCCCGCTCAGCGCCGGTGAGATGGGGGGGCTGCCCCTGGGGGGGGTCTCTGCCCCTGGTGGGGGGTCCCCCCCGAGCCTGACACCCCTGTCCCCACAGCCATCCACCGCACCCAGCCCTGGTTCCACGGGCGCATCTCCCGCGAGGACACCCAGCAGCTCATCGGCCGCCAGGGCCTGGTGGACGGGTACGGGACCCTGTGAGGGGTCCCCGGGGCTTGAGGGGTGACAACAGGGGGGGGCACGGGAGCCCAAGGGTTACGGGCCCTGGGGCCCATGGGGGGATGCAGGATGCCCGTAGGGGTGGGGGAGACTTGCTGTGGGAGTGGGGGATCCCAGGGAGGGTGGGACTCCCCACGGGTTTGGGAGCCAGGGGTTTGGGGTTCCCAGGGTTCCCAGGGGGTACTGGGCCCCCAGAGTTTGTGGAGGGTATGTGGGACCCCACGGGTGACACAGAGGGGACAGAGGGGCCCAGGGCCAGCAGTGACCCCTCTCTTGGTCCTCGCAGCGTCTTCCTGGTGCGGGAGAGCCAACGGAACCCCAAGGGCTTCGTGCTGTCCCTGTGCCACCTGCAGCGCATCAAACACTACCTCATCCTGCCCGTGAGTGGGGGGCTCCAGGGGGGCTGGGGGAGGACAGGGGGGCCCGGGGGGACCAAGCTGTGGGGTCCTGACCCACCCCCCCCCCGGCAGAGCGAGGAGGAGGGTCGGCTCTACTTCACCATGGACGACGGGCAGACGCGCTTCGCCGACCTCATCCAGCTCGTGGAGTTCCACCAGATCAACCGGGGCATCCTGCCCTGCAAACTGCGCCACTACTGCACCTGCGTGGCCCTCTGAGCCCCGGGGCACCGCACGCCCTGGCACAGCCTGGCACTGCCGGCACGGCTTGGCACAGCCTCGCTGCCGATATGGCACAGCTTGGCACAGCCCGGCACCGCCGGCATGGAATGGATCGGCACAGCCTGGCACCACTGGGATGGTTTGGCACAGCCTGGCACTGCCGGTATGGCACGGCTTGGCACAGACCAGCACCACCAGCATGGTTTGGCACAGCTGGGCACCACTGACACAGCACAGCCCAGCACAGCCCAGCACTGCTGGTATGGCAGAGCTCAACACAGCCCAGCACAGCCCAGCACCACCAGGATGGTTTGGCACAGCCTGGCACCACTGACATGGCACAGCTCGGCTCGCCAGGACCCCTCACACTCATGCACTTTGTCCTCCCCCCTCTGCAGCAGCAGCAGCCCCGAGTGTCCCCGTGGGGGCCTGGCACTCCTCGCCCCCACACCAGGGGCGTTTTGGGGTCCCCAGGAATGGGGTCCTGGGGTGGGGGGGCAAGGGGGGCACCCACCACCGCGTCCCCCACGTCCCCACAAGGCCAGTTGAAAACTGGGACGTGTTTTATACCAGTGACAATAAAGGTTATTTTTGCAGAGCTCCTGCCTCGTCCCTTCCAAAGGCAGAGCCGGGGGGTCCCCACAGCCCCCCGCTGCCAGTGGCACATGGCTGGCAGCGTCCCCATGTCCTGCCGTGTCCCCACGGTGCCCCAGGTCCCGCACAAAGGCCCCTCTGTGTGCCCGGGGCACCACGTGTGGCTCAGCCACGCAGCCGCCCGCAAATCCCCGGGGAGCGGAGGGTGGATTATCCAGGGGAGGATTAAGGGCCCGGATTTGGGGAGGGGGGGGCCAGGGCCGGGGCAGCTGCTATAAAGGCGGGGGGGCTCATGATTTGGGGAGGGGGGGGCCAGGGCCGGGGCAGCTGCTATAAAGGCGGGGGGGCTGGGATGTGGGCCACAGGCCGTGCCATGGCTCCCAAGACGGTGCTGATCACCGGCTGCTCCTCGGGCATCGGGCTGGCCCTGGCCGTGCGGCTGGCGCGGGACAAGCAGCGCCGCTTCCAAGGTGAGCGGGGCAGAGGAGGGACCCCCCCGGCCCCCGGGGGGACCCCGCGCGGGGCTGAGCCGCCCGTGCCCCCCCCAGTGATCGCCACCATGAGGAACGTGGGCCGGAGCGCGGCGCTGGCGGCGGCGGCGGGGCCGGCGCTGGGCCGGACGCTGGAGATCAAACAGCTGGACGTGTGCGACGAGGGCTCCATCCGCGCCTGCCTCGACAGCATCCCCGGGCGCCACGTGGATGTCCTGGGTGAGCCCTGGCACCCCCCTCCCGCCCTGGCCCGTGGGGAGCCCTGGGCTGGGAACCTCTGTGACAGGGACACCCCGCAGTGGGGACACCCCCGGTGCTGGGGGCTGTCCCTGACAAGCGTGTCCCAAGCTGGGGACATTTTGTGCCCCCAGTGCTGGGGGGGCAGGACAGGGACATCTCATGCACCAGAGACCCTTTGACCCCATGAACCAGGCACTCTCTGTGCCAGGGACATTCCATGTACCAGGGAGCCTCCAAACCCAGGAAATCCCATGCTGGGGACCCTCTGAGCGCAGGGGACCCTCTGTGCCAGGGACCTCACCACACACACCAGGGACCCCCTGCAACAGGGACCCCCCGTGCTGGGGACACCCTGTGCACCAGGGACCCTTCGCTGCCAGGACATCCCACGCTGGGGACCCTCCAAGCACCGGGGACCCTCCATGCCCGGGGTGTGGGATCCCCCCGCCTGGAGTCTGCCCCCACTGATGCCCCCTGCCCTCAGTCAGCAACGCCGGGGTGGGCATGGTGGGCCCGCTGGAGAGCCAGAGCCTGGCAGCCATGCAGAGCCTCATGGACACCAACTTCTTCGGCCTCGTCCGCCTCGTCAAGGAGGTGCTGCCGGACATGAAGCGGCGCCGCGGGGGCCACATCGTGGTCATCAGCAGCATCATGGGCCTGCAGGGTACGGGGACACGGGGCACCCTGGGGGGGCCAGCCCCGCCCTCAGCCCTGACTGGGACCCCCCAACCCACCCAGGCATCGTCTTCAACGACATCTACTCGGCCTCCAAGTTCGCGGTGGAGGGTTTCTGCGAGAGCCTGGTGGTGCAGGCCCTGCGCTTCAACGTGGCGTGAGTGTGGGACTGGGGGGGTCTGCAGCCCCCTGGGACGGGGGTTTGGGGGGGCCCAGTGCCCAGCAACCCCTCCCCGGGCAGGATCAGCCTGGTGGAGCCGGGGCCGGTGGTGACGGAGTTCGAGACGAAGCTTTACGAGGAGGCCGAACGCGCCGACTACTCCCGGACGGACCCCGAGACGGCCAAAATCTTCACTGACCTCTACCTGAGGAACTCCAGGGACGTGTTCGCCAGCCTGGGCCAGACTCCTGAGGACATCGCTGAGGTGACGGGTGGGAGGAGCTGGGCAGAGAAGTGTTAATGAGCCCTAATGAGGAACAGCAATGGCCAGTCGGCATCTGGGCAGATCCTGCCTGGACAGCTCCATCCTGATGGGGCTGAGCCTGGTTGGGAGTGGGAATGGGAGTGGTGAGGAATGGGGATGGGGATAGGGATGAGGGTGGGGATGGGCTGAGGTGGGATGGGATGGGAACGGGGATGGGATGGATGGGGATAGGATGTGAGGGAACTGAGGATGGAGATGGGATAGAAATGCAATGGGGATGGGAAGGGATAGAGATGGGGTAGGATGGGATGGGAATGGGGTGAGATGGGATAGAGATAGGGATAGAATGGGAAGGGGATGGGGGTAGGATTGGAATGGGGTGAGGTGAGATGGGACCAAAATAGGGAGAGGATGGGATGGGCTTGGGGATGGGGTGTGAATGGGAAGAAGAAGGGATAGGAATGGAGATGGAGATGCAGAGGAATGGGATGCAGACAGGGCTGAAAGGGGAGGGGGGCAGAATGGTGGTGGTGGTGGTGGCAGAAATGGGCTGGGGCTGAGGAGGGGCTGGGGGGACAGGGAGGGGACAGTGCCGTGCCCCCGTGCAGCACACCCTGCGGGTGATCGAGGCGGCCCGGCCGCCGTTCCGGCACCAGACAAACGTGGCGTACACGCCCATGGCCGCGCTCAAACACGCCGACCCCAGCGGCGCCCTGGTCACCGACGCCTTCTACAAGCTGGTGTTCAAGTACGACGCGGTGCTGCGCTTCGGGCTCCGCGCCATCCGCCTGCTCCGCTGGAAGTCACGGAAGGTCAAGGAGGGCGTGCGGCTCCTGGGCTTCAAATAACCCCCTAGAACAGCCCCGGGCAGCGCCCACCCCACCCCCGGGAGGGCGGCTCGGGAGCGGGGGGCTCGGGGCCGGGACCCCGCGCGGGGTTTCTGTCCCGCCCCCGGCCCGAAATAGCGCCCGCGGCCGCCGCCGCATTAAACCTGAAGTGGGAGCGGTGTTTGTAACCAGCGCCGGGTGAGCAACGCGGAGTGGCTTCCTCCGGGAGAGCGGCGGCCGTGACGGGGCTGGAAGAGCCTCCCCCTCCCTGGGGCACCCGGCCCCCTGCACCCGAGGGCGTGTGGCCCCCAGGGGACCTGCCCTGGCCACCCCTCGGCTGCCAGAGGCGGTGTCCTCCTTCCCGAGTCCTCCTTCCCCCGGACAGTGCTGTGGGGTCGGGAATGTCCCACGGGAGGGGGGGCACTGAGTCACCCCCCTCCAGCACTGAGCCCCACGGCCCTGGGGCAGCACAAGGGGTGCAGGAGGTGGCAGGAGGGGAGCAGGGTGAGAGGGGAGTTCAGAGGGGGCACGGGGGGTGCAAAGGGAACCGGGGCGAAGTGGAGATGGGGTGCATGGCAAAGGCTGGGAACAGGGAACCCCAGCACCCCACGCTGCCCCCGGGGGGCTCCCCTCCGGCTCAGGGGGGGCGATGGCAGGGCTGGGGTGCCCCGGGTGGTGGTGCGTGGGCGCCTGGCGTGACAACCCCGGGAGGAGAGCACAGGGGGAAACCGCAGGAGGCCCGGCACGAACCAAATCTGCTCTGCGGGGCCGCTGCTCACAAACCTGCCCGGCCCCTCCCCCGGCGGAGCCCCCCGGGGCCCTGCCGGGACCCCCGGCCCCACCTGCGAGGTCTGGGTGGCGGCTGCAGCTCCGTGTGCCTCGCACGTGGCCTCTCCGGGGCCCCGCCGGCTCCAGGGACCTCGGGGACAGGATGAGGGCGGGGGTGTGGGGGGGAGAGGAAATATTTTTGCATTATCCCCCCTTCTCGCACGAGTTAATGGCAAAGCGGCGGTGGGACCGCGGCCCCGGGGCCATGGCAGCACCTGTGGGACGTGCAGGAGTGACATCAAAGCGGTGACAGAGTCGCTGCCTCTCCCCCCGCTGCGGTTTCTGCAGATTTGACTAACTTTCTCCACTCCGGGGGGCAGGACGGATGGGGGGGGGGGAAGGGATGGGGGGCTGTGCCCGGCGCCGGGGAGCAACAAGGGGGGGCCCCTGGCTGCGGCTCAGCCCCCCGGGCACAGAGTCACAGCTGTGGGAAACGGGGCTGAGGGAGGACAGGACCCTCCCCCTCCCCAGACACTCCCGGTGCCCAGGGAAGCAGCAATGGGGCTGGTACTGGGGGCACTGGGGGAAGCAGGATGAGCCGCAGCTCTCCCTGCGGGCGGGGGCAGCGGGGTCTGGGGGGAGCAGCCTGTGATGGCCTCAGCCCCAATCACAGCCCCCCTCACGGGGGTCTCGGGCAGAGGATGGAACAGGGAGCTGCTGGTGGTGGTGGGGGTATCCCCAATCTGTGGGGGGCACCTGGGTCGTGCCTGAGGCTGAGGAGCTGATGCTCCCTCCCGCCTGGAGCACCCGCCGTGGCCGTGGAGCAGCAATCCGAGCCCAGGACCACCCTCCATCCCCATCCCACCACCGCCGCAGCCCCGCGGGTGCCGCGCTGGAGCGGCAGGAGCCGGGCGGGTCGGAAGCAGATTCTTCTGAAAAACAATTGTCTGCTGGGACTTTCCTGCCCCCGGGGTGTGACAGTCGCCAGCCGCTCCCCGTGTC